GACTGCTGCACGGCCCGGCCCACGGAGATGCATGGCTGTCTGCTGCCCGGGGAACGGCCCGGGAACGGCCCTGGAAGCAATGTCCCCAGCCCAGCCCGGGGAGACGCGTGGCCGGCTTGGCGACCTGGGGACGGCCCAGGAAGCGATGCCCCCGTCACTGCTGCCACGGCCCCAGCCAGGACTGCTGCTCAGCCCGGCCCGCGGAGATGCGTGGCCGGCTCAGCTGCCCGGGAACGGCCCAGGAAGCAATGCCCTCCTGCCACCACTCCAGCCGGGACTACCGCCCGGCCCGGCCTGGGGAGATGCATAGTTGGCCTGGGGCCCGGGGACAGCCCAGGGAGCGATGCTGCTGCCGCCCCAGCCGGGACTGCTGCTCAACCCGGCCCGCGGAGATGCATGGCCGGCTCAGCTGCTCACGGACGGCCCAGGAAGCAATGCCCTCCTGCTGCCGCCCCAGCCGGGACTGCCGCCCGGCCTGGGGAGACGCATAGCCGGCTCGGTGGCCTGGGGACGGCCCAGGGAGCAATGCCCCCGCCGGCCCAGCCGGGAGTGAGGCCTGGGGGGGCAGGAGGAAGAAGGGGGGGAGGGGGAGGAGGAGGCTCCGGAGCCGCAGGAGAGGGCTCAAAGAGCCGCATGCGGCTCCGGAGCCGCGGGTTGCCGACCCGTGGTCTAGCCCAGTGATGGTGAACCTTTTAGAGACTGAGTGCCCAAACTGCAACCCAAAACCCACTTATGCATCGTTGGGTGCCTGGTGGGTGTGGCCTATTGGGTGGGTGTGGCCCATTGGGTGAGCGCAGCCCATTGGGTGGGCGTGGCTGTGGTGGTAACAGCAGACTGGGTGGGACTAAAAAGTTCAATCAATCAATTCCAATTTTGCAAGATCTTTTTTTTCCCGTGAGAAGTTGAAATTGACTGATTGATTGAACCTTTTTTTTGGTACACGGCGGCGGAGACCTAAAGCAAAAAGGTTTTATAAAACCCAGCTGAAGGCCTAGGAGTGGGGCGACAGCACGCGTGCCCACAGAGAGGGCTCTGAGTGCTGCCTCTGGCACCCGTGCCATAGGTTCGCCACCACTGGTCTAGCCTCTTCTTAAAAATCTCCACTGATGGAGTGCCCACAATTTCTGAAGGCAAGCTGTTCCATTGGTTAATTGTCCTCACTATTAGGAAGTTTCTCCTGAATTCCAAGTTGCTTCTCTCTTTGATCAGCTTCCAAACATTGTTTCTTGTCCTGCCCTCTGGTGCTTTGGAGAATAATGTGACCTCCTCTTCTTTGTGGCAGCCCCTCAAATACTGGAATACTGCTATCATGTCTCCCCTGTTTCTTCTTTTCTTTAGACTACTAGCCAAACCCAAGTCCCATAGCCGTTCTTCGTATGTTTTAGTCTCCAGGCCTTTGATCTTCTTAGTTGCTCTTCTCTGAATTTTTTCTAAACTCTCAACATCTTTTTTGTGGTATGGTGACCAAAATTGGCTGCAGTATTCCAGGTGTGGTCTTACTAGGGTTTTATAAACTGGTACTAATACTTTGCATGATCTTGATTCTATGCCTCTGTTTATACAAACCAGGATTGTATTAGCTTTTATGGCTGTTGCTGCACACTGCTGGCTCATGGTTAAGTGATTGTCCACTAGGACTCCAAGGTCCCTCTTACAGTTATTGCTTTAAGCCAGGTCTCGCCCAATCTGTACTTGTACCTTTGTTTTTTCCCACCTAAATATAAGACTATGCTTTTCTCCACATTGAAACTCATTTTGTCGGATAGGGCCCATTGTTCAAGTTTGTCAAGATCTTTTTGGTTCCTGAGGTTGTCTTCTGGGGTGTTGGCTACTGCTGCCAGTTTGGTGTCATTTGCAAATTTGATGAGTTCCCCTTCAATTCCCTCGTCTAAGTCATTGATGAAGATATTGAAGAGTACTGGGCCTAAGACGGAGCCTTCTGGTACCCTACTGCGTACTGGTGGAGAATGTTACACAGTAGAAATCTCTATGTAAATGTACAGGTAGTCCTCAAGTTACGGCCACAGTTGACCCCAAAATTTCTGTTACTACAATAAGCAGGACAGTTGTTAAGTGAATTTTGCCCCCTTTTACAACCTTAACAGTTGTTAAGTTAATAACATGTTGTTAAGTTAATAACAGTTGTTCAGTTAATAACCAATGACTTTGCTTGTCAAATGGTCGCAAAAGGGGATCATGTGACCCCCTGGGACACTGCAACCGTCATAAATTTGAGTGAGTTGTCAAGTGTTGAATTTTGATCAGGTGACCATGGGGATGCTGCAATGGTCATAAGTCACTTTTTCCAGTGCCGTTGTAATTTGGAATGGTCAGTAATCAAATAGTTGTAATTCAAGGACTACCTGTAAGGCAGAGGTCCCCAACCTTTTGGGCACCAGGGACTGGTTCCATGGAGAAAGGTTTTTCTATGGACCAGACAGTGCATGATTTTGTGTGCTGCCTGCATCCTGCAGATGGGGCTTTGCTTGTTTGTGCGGACCAGTTGCTGGCATGCCGCGGACCGGTATCGATCCACAGACCTGGGGTTGGGGACCCCTGCTGTAAGGGGCTATGAGAATAACCTTGAGGGACAGGAGGAAGAGCTGCAGTCAACGCAATAGTCAGATAAGGAAATCAGAGTCCAAAGCAGAAATGTAATTTTAGAAAAACATTTCCGACTTGTCCCTCTTTACTTCTCTTGTAGATAAAGGCGGAGAGGGGATAGGAACATCCCGACTAGCAAGATTCTGTTACTGTAACTTTACAATACAAGTGATTTTGGCATTCATAATTTGGCTTCCCAAGTCTGATCTACCTTGAAAAACTGACATCACCAAAGGGCTAGGACAGTGATGGTGAACCTTTTAGAGACCCAGTGCCCAAAAACCACCCTGCCCCCGCACTGCCCACCACCCTGTGCCCCGCCTGCCCGCAGGGCCACCCGCCTCCATGGCCCGCTGCAACAGATCGCCCAGGTGGCCCAGCAGCGCCATGGTGGCCACACCCTCCACCCGCGCCCTGCATCATCATCTGCGCATGATAGAGCACAAGGGTGGAGTCTTGTCCCCCGCTACCTGGCTGCCATGTCCTTGGCTGCGCTGCTCCGTGCGGGCCGTGCCCAGGGGCGACTCTCCTCCGGGGGGGATGCTGGTGAGGAGGGGGCCGTGGGGGGAGGCAGGGCTGGGGCGAAGGCATGCGTGCCCACAGAGAGGGCTCTGAGTGCTGCCTCTGGCACGCGTGCCATAGGTTCGCCACCACTGCGCTAGGAGCAGGAATATCCCCAGTCTAATTTTTTAGATATTCATCATTGTATTTCAAATTTATGCTTTTGGGGTTTTGGTGTTTTTTTTGAATTTCTGGTGTAAAATCACAGTTCCACCTAGCCAAACACACACAGAGTTACAGTTCAGAGGTGCCCTGTTCATTGTTGTCAGTTCTCTGAATGTTACTCATTGTGTTATTACTTGGCAACTTCAATGGATGAGTTTCCAACCATTGCTCCACTTTCCTGAACCAGCTCAGTGGTGGCCAAAGAGGACCAGAGGCAACAAAATGGAATCTGAGCAGCTGAATGGTGGTGAATAGGGAGACTGGGGTGTACCATTTAGAGCAGTGTGTCATGGTTCCGACTAATGAAACACTTCAAAGAACTTCCAGGCATTGTTTATCCTAAAAAGTCTTTTATTCATGTAACAAAATGTCGGCACGGCATGAATGACGGATGCTAAGATCTAAATTCTCCTCCCCTGAGCACATATTTTGCCAGCATGTTCCCTCCCTTAATTTGCTGTCATAAATCACATTCTCCTATCAGTTTGAAGGCCAAAGGTTCTTTTCTGTTTGCGTGGGATTTTTAGCTAATATAATTACCCACATACATTCTTTCTCCTCCCCTCCCAGCATAATCTGAGTTAACTCTAAAAATACCACACAGCTCTGCATATTTTGTCAGAGCAAGAACATCCAATGTTAGCAGTGTTGAAACAGTGTTTCTCAACGTTGATAACTTTAAGATGGGTGGTCTTCAACTTCTAGAATTCCCCAGGCAGCATGTTGGCTAGGGAATTCTGGAAATTAAAGTCCACCTATTCTAAAGTTGCCAAAGTTGAGAAACACTGTATTAGAGAGAACGGCAGCAGGGACCACCACCTAGCCAGCCTTGGATGTTCATCTGGCCCAAAAAAGCAAGGTTTATTCCATTTAGTGTTTGGATGGCAGGCCACTAGGAAATCCCATGGCTTTAGGCTAAACTTGCAAATCGAAATGGCATCCCAGAAGAAGGCAGTTGGAAGAGAGTGCCATATTGCTGCCAAGAACATTACACAAGGATAATTCATGTGGTCCCCAAGAGACACATCCCTAATTCCTCGAGGGAAGTTTTGCCTTTTTAAAAGGGAAGGATGCAGGGAAATAGACCATTCCTCCCTATCAAGAGAGCTGCACACGTGCAGGATTGAAGAGAAACATGGTAACCATACTAAGTGGGGCCATAACTCAGGAACGGTTTAAAAAAGTGAAGACAATTGCCTATAATTGTGCAGCCAACCACACTGCTGGTGAAAAAGGGGGCTTGGACTGCACAGTTATAGCTGCCCTCCTAAGTTGCTTGATAACCTCCTTCAATGGATTCTTCCATCCCAAGATGGCCGAAGATTGTAAGAGCTTGGGTGTCATGGCCCCCTCAGAGCCTGATTTGGAGGAGGAGGAGGAGTTGGAACTGGGACTGTCCCATAGGGAAGGGACAACTGGGGTTACTCTCCCGGGACCTCAGGCATTGGGGGAAGTGGAGATGGAGAGCTGCCTGCCTGTACAGACACAGGGGAGGATCGACTGCTGACTGGCAGTGATGCTGATAGGCAGCCGATCCCCTCTGATGAGGAACAGCTGCCTCCTCCATTCAATCTAAGGGCATGGAGAGCGGAACGTAGGCAAGCACAGAGAAGGGCTGCAAGGCTATTTGGAACACCTGGAGGGGAGTAACTTAAGGAGAAGCCATGGGGAGTTGGTCTTTTCCAGGAACAATTGTTTGCTTTCGTTTACACTCCCCTGGCTTCGACTCGTGCCTGTTTGCTGTTTGCCTTGCCTCACTTGAAAGATGGCTCTTTTCCTTTTGTTCTGGATCTCGCCCTTCTCTGGTGGCCTACGTTTGGCCTTTGCTTCACTGGGGCTTTGGAACTGCTTCTTTTCTGGAACCTGTTTCTTGTCCTGAGGACTGTCCTGGTCTTGTGCCTGGACCCTGCCTAGTGGATGGGACTTGGAACCCTGGATCTTACCCTATGCACGTGCTCCAACTCTGTGGGCTTTATTTGAACTACCAGGGCTGCTGTTTGGGGGCCTGAGAGTGGCTGCCTTCAGAGTAGTGTGAGGGTGGAGCCTTACCATTTGTTGGAGGGCGTATGGCTGGAACATTTATTAAGAATAATAAAGAACTCTCTCTATTTCTTTATAGAATAGAATTCTTTATTGGCCTAATGTGATTGGACACACAAGGAATTTGTCTCCAGTGCATAAGCTCTCAGTGCACATAAAAGCAATATGTGATAAATCATGATCGTAGTCATTGTAAAAATACATTCATCATAAACCGTAAGATATAATACAGTGATAGTCATAGGATACCAAATAAGCAATCAGTGTAAATCATACTAGGATACTAAATAAAACAATATAAATCGTAAGATACAAGAACAAAGTTATAGTCATGAGAAGATAAGGAATAGGTAATAGGAAGGATGAGAAGGATAATAATAATGCAGCCCTACTAGGTAGTTTGACAGTGTTGTGGGAATTAGTTGTTTAGCAGAGTGATGGCAAGGGGGGGGGGGGGAAACTGTCCTTGTGTCTGATAGTTTTGCTGTGCAATGCCCTATAGCATCGTTTTGAGGGTAGAAGTTGAAATAGTTTGTCCAGGAAGTGAAAGATCTGTAGATATTTTCACAGCCCTTTTTTTTTTACTCGAGTGGTATACAGGTCCTCAATGGAAGGCAGAGGCCTGCCTTGCCTTGACCACCTGGATCATAACATTAGGAACTAGAAAAATTAAAATGAGGCTGTCCTGTGCTCTGGGCTGTCTTACAGGCTGACGGCTTTCGTGCTGAAGTCTTTTGCTCCAGCGAGGTCCTTCATCTCTGTGGAAGAAAAGCACATCATCGATGCTCAGAACTCACTGACACTGAGGCAGGAGACGAATGGATGCTTTCGGAGCACAGGGTCTCTTTTTAACAATGCCCTCAAGGTACAAGAGGCGGGTGGGAGAAAAGGGTGACATGTCTTTGGAAGTGAGAGTTGGGTATATTGGGAACACAGGTAGTCCTCGAGTAGTGGTGGGATTCAAATACCCGAACAACTGGTTCTCTGCGTGGATGCAGGCCTGGGCCTCCGAGGCCTAGAATGGACTTCCGGAAGTGACATCCATGCACTTCCTGTGGGCCGTTCTAGGCCTGGGAGACCTCCTCCAGGCCTCCAAGGCCTAGAATGGACTTCCGGAAGTGACATCCACGCACTTCCTGTGGGCCGTTCTAGGCCTAGGAGACTTCCTCCAGGTCTCCGAGACCTAGAATGGACTTCCAGAAGCAGCATGGGTTCAGCCGGTTCTCCAAACTCAACAACATTTAGATACCGGTTCTGTCAAACTGGTGCGAACCGGCTGAATCCCACCACTGTCCTCGAGTTACAACTACAATTTGGGGCTGGAATTTTGGAACTTAAATGATATGGTCACTAAGCAAGTGATCATATGACCAACCTGATTTTTACTGCACTTGTTAAACAAATCACCATGGTGGTTAAGCAAATCTGGCTTCCTCAATTAACATTTTCTTGTCCGAAACTGGCAAGAAGGTAGCATATCATGATCACACAACTGCAAGACTTTGCAACCGTTGTAAATGCAAGCCAGTTGCCAAGTGCACAAATTGTGTACACGGGATTATGGGGGTGATGTGAGAGTCGTAATTTCAAGGATGACCTGAAAGCCAGTTTCTCCAAGGCAGTTGTAACTTTGAACCATCATTAAATGAATGAGCTCAAGAAAGAATGTGGATTGAAGATACACGCGGATTGAGTTGGTTTGGCCATGGAGAGAATGACTGGGAATTACTCTGGATTTCTAATTGGGAAGAAAATATGTGCTTTCTTTCTATTTATGAACTGGAACAGTATTGACAAAACAGAAAGACTCATGAATATTCTGCAGTCAGGATTTCGCATTTTACATGAAAAACTGAAAAAATATCTTCAGTAGTCTTTTTAAAATAACTTTTTTAAAAAACAAAGGGCAGGAATATCCAAGTCCAATCTTTTGCAATCTCTTCCCAGCATATCTTGGTTTTGATTCAGGAAAAAAAATATCTAACAGGATGAGAAGTTATGGATTGATTGATCCTCCATGAATTTCTCTACAATACTCCTTTTTGTTCAGGGCCATGTCAATTGGTGGGGTTACGACCTATTTAATAGCAGTGAACTGCATAATGTAATGAGATGCGGTGCAAAGAATTAGGGTGATGTTAAAATATGGTAACAGTGATCTAATGAAAGCTGTGCCCCCATTTCAAAGTTATCTACAGCAGGGCTTTTCAACCTTTTCACCCATTGTACCACTTTTAGGATATGGCAACATCCGAGTACCACCAGTCACCTAGCAAGGTGTCAAAAACTTGATGACCCCCCCAAAAAAGTGATAAAGTACAGGTAGTCCTCGACTTACAACAGTTTGCTTAGTGACTGTTTGAAGTTACAATGGCACCGTAAAAGTGCCCCCCCAAGCCACAGCCAAGCAAGACACATGCCTGCCCACCCAGCGGCGCTCTTCCTCCTGTCCGAGGTTTTCATTGTTGTGAGCATTTCTGTTGAGGATTGGCAGTGGGGATGGGGTGGGGTTTTTTTTGGTTTTTATTCCCCCCGTCTGCTGGGTGGTTGTAGCAGGTTTGGGTCACTTCACATGACCCTGGGACACTGTGACCATCATAAATATGAATCAATTGCCAAGCATCTGAATGTAAATCACAAGACCCTGTAGATGCTGCAACATTCCAGCTGATTGGTGCTTCTGGGCTCAGCAGAAGTGCCAGGATCAGTGCCGAGCTCCAGCTGGAGCCTGGCGCTGCTCCTGGCGCTTCTGCTGAGCCCTGACAGCCCTGCAGCTCCAGCCATCTCTCGCTCAGGCTTGTGCGGTGCTGCCACCGGTTCAGCTCATTCCCCTCCCCCGCTACCACTTTTCTAGGATGGTCGTGTACCACCTGCCAGGTGCCAATGTACCACAGGTGGGTACCCGTACCACTGGTTGAAAAGCCCTGATCTACAGGAGAGGCAAAACAAAAAATCAACATGGCAGCTAAAATTGCACAGTTGAACCTCCACTCTTTTTTATTTGCAATGCAGGTAAAAAATAAACAAGGCTTCAAAGATCTATTCACAATTGCCATCTTGTCTTTTTCAGCCCCACGAAGGCACTCCATGCCCTAATTCCACCTAAAATCAATACAGAACTGAAAAAGGGATGAAATGAGAATTATTAAAGCTAGTCCTTGCTTAGCAACCACAATTGGAATTGTTGACTCCAATACCGCAGTTGCTAAGAGGAAAAATCATTTGACAGGGGCAGATTGACAATGTCACTTCCCATTTGGTTCCTAATCAAGTCAGTACAGTCATTAAGCAAAACTTCATGTCACAGTGACTTGCAATTTTAATTCTGCATTCTTCCACTAATTCTGCTTGGAAATTGTCAGAAGAGTGATCACCTGACCATGGGACATTGTGATGGTTGTAAATGAGATGACTGGTCACAAAGCTTTTTTTTTTTAGACCATTGTAACTTCAAATAAGGAACGTTTGTTGGAATTGGGTATGCCTAGTTTAATGAAGAGAAGGACAAGGTGGGACATGATAGCAGTGTTCCAATATCTCAGGGGCTGCCCCAAAGAAGAGGGAGTCAAGCTATTCTCCAAGGTGCCTGAAGGCAGGACAAGAAGCAACGGGTGGAAACTAATCAAGGAGAGAAACAACCTAGAACTAAGGAGAAACTTCCTGACCGTTAGAACAATTAACCAATGGAACAACCTGCCTCCAGAAGCGGTGAATGCTCCAACACTGGAAGTTTTTAAGAAGAGACTGGACAACCATTTGTCTGAAATGGTGTAGGGTTTCCTGCCTGAGCAAGGGGTTGGACTCGATGACCTCCAAGGTCCCTTTCAACTTTATTATTATTTTTATTAAATTGTTGTCAAACGAGGCAGTCGGCAAGCAAGGACCATCTGTAATAGCTGATATACTTGGAAGCTCCCAATCAAAGCTAGCTATAGATGCCAGAAAATCTATTTACTGGTTGATGAGAAACATTTCTGTATTGCCCAGTTCCCAAAACTCCATGATTTCGTGTGAGGGAGATGTAATATAGATTTGGAAAGAGTGAAGGGGTTGTTGAAGGAAAAATCTTCATCAGGATTTAGTTCAAGCTGGAAATAAACAAACATGGTGACTGCTTTAGAAAGAAGGTTGTAGTTTATTGAAGAGGAGAGCCAGACAGAAAGATGACTCTGGAAAAAAGTGACCACATGTAGTAGGGAGTGGGTTTTTATACCTTCTTGGGCTTTTGTTTGGAGTTGTTCCTGTGGCATGAACTTTGACCTGAGTCTGAGTGTGCCTTTCTGATATTCTGATAGTGGTGGTTTAATCCTATTATGTCCCAAAGGTCATATCCTGCTTCCCTGGTGCTGTGGCTGGACTGTTGGATTTTTGGTGCGAGGGATTGTTGATTCTAGAGATCTTTGTCTTTCTAATCCCAGTTTCCTGGCTCCAATCTTTCTGACAAGATTATCACATCTGCATTTCTGCAGACCTGGTTTGTGTTCGGGGCAGAGAGACTTGGGGGGTTGGGGGGTTTGGTTTCTGCCTTTAAAATCCTTTGGGGAAATATAATATTCTGCCTTTTAATATTCCCAATAATATTTCTTTCTCTGGATTATTTCCACAGGGTGATAGAAGATGGTGGAAATCATTTGTCTAATAGGTGCAGCTAATATCTGTTTCTCTCTTCCAGGGGGGAGTTGATGACCAGATCACTCTTTCAGCTTACATCACCATTGCTTTGCTGGAAGTGCCGCTATCTCCCTCCGTAAGTGTGCTAAGTGCAACCATGATTGCAGTAGACTAGCAGTGGGGAAAGCCATGTTCAAGTTCCCACTTGGTCATGGAATTCACAATCACTTAGGCTAATGATAGAGACCACATCTGACTAGCTTCAAAGCCATGCCATAGTCCGGTGAATCCAAAATGTAATTATATAATCTGAATAAGCCCAATTGCCTCTTCCTTATCTCTCCTCTTCTCCAATCAATTCTGTCCTTTTCTGTCTCCAATCAAATAAGAGGTGGGGTGGTTCGATGGCTTAATGATGAAAGTGTCTCAGCTCCGGGGGTTTGAGCCCAAGCATTGTGTGGCAGGATGAGCTCCTGTCACTTGCCTTAGCTTTCGTCCACCTAGCAATTGAAAAGCATGTTCTATGCAAGTAGATAGATAGATACCACTTTGGCGAGGAGATGAACTGGTGCTCTGTGCAGGCAATCAGATTCCTGATGGCTCTGAACATTCCTGTTGTGATTTCTCGCGAACCAGTGGACCTGGCAGCTGAGGAATCAGAGGAGGAGGGGCCTGGAGTGACATCAGAGTCAGAAGAAGGCTCTGAGGAGCTCCAAGACTTAAAGTCTGACAAAGAGCCGGGCCCCTCTACTCGCGCTCAGGCTGAGACACAGCTGTGCTGGGAGTCTGAGTTGGACAGTGATGAATCACAGCTGGGAGATATCCAGGATGCATGAAAACGCCGACAAGAAAAGAGAGTAGGACAGAGGAATGCAATGGGGTGGCTCCAAAGGCAAAGGAGAACGCATTAGGAAGCCATGCCTTGGCTGCATAATAAAAGGGAAGGTGTGGGAGGTGCTGGTTGCCGAAGGCAACCGTTCGTGTTGAGGATCGAGTTTCTGTGAACTGTGTTTGTTTGCCTTGGACATTGACTCAGGTCTGTGAATAATAAAAGAGGATTGTTTTTTTCCTGCGGTTCCAGCCTGTTTGTTGGAAGAGGGGCTTTTCCTTGTGAGTTTAACAAGGACTCACGTAGGCTAGGACAGAACACTTCCCAGTTGTGGTGCCCATTTGTGAGTCAGCTCTGGGATGCGAAGCCAGCTCACCCTCCTGTGGCCCACCATGGGAAGCGTGCAAGTGTGTCCTATAACAGGGCTGGTACTTCAGCAAGCCAAACTGCTACTCTACAATAGCATTGTGGTCTCCTGGCTACTGTAACAATGCCATATGCCAATAATAATCCTATCTATTCTGCCCTCACCTGCTTCTTTAGATTTGACTCCTAATGGCCAGCTCTCTGACTCTTGGCAGCTGACTCCACCAATGTAATTCTTCCAAGCAAGATGTTCACAGTCTTCTTTAGCAAGATTTATTGAAAGGAGAAGGAAAGGGTTGTGACAACATCAGCAGCTTTCACTTGAGTACCATGTTGTCTTTCAATACATTAGGGTGAAGACTTCTTTAACTTTCTTTCTAAGGGCTGTTGTGTGAACTGGAAAGAAGGAGCTTCTTTTTGCAGATAATGGCAGAGTCTGTAGAGGGTTGTTCACAAAACAATCTCCTGAATCCTTATATTATCATTCCTGATTTGCCCTCCTCCTCCTCCTCCTCCTCCTCCTCCTCCTCATGCATTGACCCACCGGCACTCTCATCTTAGACCTCACCTATATATACAGATATACAGAAATTCATAGTAATAGTAATACCTTCATCCCAGGGCTTTGCTGAGATCCTGAGTTTCTTCAAAATCTCCTCCTTCAGGAACCTTCCTCCTGTTGAATTTAGATTACAAGAGTCCTCCCCCTCCCCCTCCCCCTTCTCTTTCCCTCCCTTCAAGTGTGGAGGAAGATACAAAGTTCTGGTTCTTGCACTTTTGGTGGCCTCAATCATTGTTATTTTTGTGCTGCTGTTCTGCATCTTTGATGCTGTCTCTCCATCTTCTTCTGGGTCTGTCTCGTATTCTTTGGCCTCTTTATTGTATATGCTTTGTATGGTATAGAACAGGGATAGGCAACCTTGGCTCTTTTATGACTCGTAGACTTCAACTTCCAGAATTCCTGAGCCAGCATGGCTGGCTCAGGAATTCTGGGAGTTGAAGTCCACGAGTCATAAAAGAGCCAAGGTTACCTACCCCTGGTATAGAATCTCAAAGACATTCTCCCTAGGTGAGCAAACCACTTAACTTGCTATTTTTGCATATGTTTAACATTGGATCTATTGCATTTCATTCTCTTTTGATCTCATTTTTGATTTTATCCCTTCTCTGGTCACTCCAGCAGCTTTCCTCAAGCATCTCCCTTCCACGGTGACTAACTTTCGCTTCTGCTTTATTGCAAATGGCCACGACCCTGGTAATACAGGGTGGGGATGAATATGCTTTGTATCCTGCTATATTGATTTCCATTAAACGCCTTGTCCTCTGCAGTTCTTTGTGGTGGAAAATGCTTTAGTTTGCTTGGAGGAGGCATCTGAAGCTAAAGAGATCCACGTTTATCTCCGGGCTCTGTTGGCGTACGCCTTTGCTTTGGCGGGGAAAGAGGAGAAGAAGCAAGAAATGTTGGACTTCCTTCTAAAAGTAGCTGTGAAGGACGGTGAGACATGAGCTCTTTGTTATGAAAATTATATACCCACCAAAGAAGTTGGAGATATGCAACAAACTTTATTGGCGTGCAAAGAGTAATGTTCATTGGAAACCACCCCCCCCCTCAAGTCAAGAAGAGGTGCCTATAGCCCAGTGGTAGGATTCAGCCGGTTCACACCAGTTCAGCAGAACCGGTAGCTAATTTTTTGTTGCCCAGGCCCAGAATGGACTTCCGGGAAGCGCCATCCACACAGAGAACCGGTTGTTCACCTATTCGAATCCCACCACTGCTATAGCTCCAAGTGTCTTTCATACAGGAGTATACTTTATTTATTTATTAACTGTATTTGCTGCCCATCTCACTATATAAGGATGGAAGCACACACTGATTCCATGAATAATTCATTAATGACCACTGGAAGGAAATAAGTGGGCAGATGAGCCAGAGATGATGTTTCTTCTGGCCATCATGAATCTATCTTTTGCGTTAGTATCATATTAACACTCAACATCTTATTACCACTTTATCATGATGGTCATGGGATGATTTATTGAGGATTCAATGAAATCTGTCTAGAGGTAGTCCTTGACTTACAAAGATGATCAGGGGACTGGAGGCTAAAACATACAAAGAACGGTTGCTGCAATTGGGTATGCCTAGTTTAATGAAGAGAAGGACGAGGGGGGACATGATAGCCGCGTTCCAATATCTCAGGGGCTGCCACAAAGAAGAGGGAGTCAAGCTATTCTCCAAAGCACCTGAAGGCAGGACAAGAAGCAAAGCGTGGAAACTAATCAAAGAGAGAAGCAGCCTAGAACTAAGGAGAAACTTCCTGACAGTTGGAACAATTAATCAGTGGAACAGCGCCTCCAGAAGTTGTAAATGCTCCAACACTGGAAGTTTTTAAGAGGAGACTGGACAACCATTTATCTGAAATGGTATAGGGTTTATATTCAACTCTATATTCTATTCCGTTCCATTCCGTTCCGTTCCATTCCATTCCATTCCATTCCATTCCATTCTATTCTATTCTATTCTATTCTATTCTATTCTATTCTATTCTATTCTATTCTATTCTATTCTATTCATTCTGAATTCTATTCTATTCTATTCTATTCTATTCTATTCTATTCTATTCTATTCTATTCTATTCTATTCTATTCATTCTGAATTCTATTCATTCTGAATTCTATTCTATTCTATTCTATTCTATTCTATTCTATTCTATTCTATTCTATTCTATTCTATTCTATTCCATTCCATTCCAATCCCATCCCATCCCATCCCATTCACTGTAGTTGAGCCCAGAATCATGATTATAAGTCACTGCAGTCATAAGCTGAGGTATCAGAAGATTGGATTCAAAGTTACAATCATTTTGTTATGACAGTTGTTTAGTAAATATGGCAGTTGTTAAATGAATCATTTCTCCAAAGGATGTTTTTTGCTAGAAACTGGAAGTAAATGCTAGTTACCGCCAAAAAACTGTCATGACTACAGGATGCTGCAAACATAATTCTATGTGACTACAGAATGCTGCAAACAGTCATAAAGGTGAGTCGGTTGCCAAGCGCCCGAAATGTGATTATGTGACCACAGAGGTGTGAGTGGCTATTGTAATTCCAAAGACGAATTGTAAGTGGCTCTGGGGAGATGCGTCATAACTTTGATCAATTGTTAAGTAACCGGTTGTACGTCAAGGACCACCTGTCATGTGCTTGTCCTATTGCCCAGTTGCATAGGGTTTGACACCAAGTGAGGCCAGATGTTTCTGAAGAGATACCAGTTGAAATTTGATTGACAGTGCTTGGACTGAGTAACCCAAAGTTAACTTTTCCATCTCTCTTTGAAGAGGACGGCTCCATCCACTGGGAGAGGCCTGGGAAGCCAAAGCAGAGGTCCGATTTTCCATTCTACTCGCGTGCTCCCTCTGCTGAGGTAGAGATGACTTCCTATGCGCTCCTTGCTTGCCTGACCAAAAAACCAACCCCGTCCCAGGAAGAATTAACTATAGCAGCTGCCATTGTCAAATGGTTGCTCAAACAACAGAATTCCAATGGAGGATACTCCTCTACACAGGTATGTTTGCTCCTCACAAATTCTCAGAGGATGTTGGAAGGAGCTGTGGGAAGGGCCCCGCTCCCTAGATTAAAATATTCTTTATTCTTAATATTAAAAAGAGGCAGACTATTATTGTCAACGCTGCAAATACTGTATATTCTTGCTTTGACAATATGCAGAACTGTCTGGTATTTTTATAGTTAAATCAGGCAACAGTGAAAGCCAGGAAAAAGAAACCAGAAGTAAATCACGTCTTCCAAGTTAATTGGAAGATGTGAACCATGACCCCAAAATAAGGGAGGGAAAAAATGCTTAGTATGTATGTGTAACGGAAAAGGATCAGATCTAAGCATTCCACCATGCCGTACTGACGTCTCTGTAACCTTAATAAATGCTTTTAGGAAAAAATATGCCTGAAAGTCCTTTTAAGTGTTTCGTTAATCAGACACAAGACAATTATATTTCCCCAAAGGAGAAATAGAGAAAAATCTTAAAGGCAGAAAGCAGCCCCAGTCTCCCTGCCATAAGAAAAACAGCTTCCAACTAAGAAACCTGAAGAGGCTGGCCTTTAGGAATGCAGATTTTCTAATCTGTGAAGAAAGACTGGGCCAGTCCATTCATAAACAAAATGCCTTTAGCCCCCACAGCTGAAGGGATTAAGAATTTACATTCCCTCACCCAAAATCTAAGGACAGGACATGACTTTTAGGACACAATAGGATTAACCCAACACCTCTTCAGACTAGCAAAAACCCACCTCATTGCACAACCCAGAAACATTTCCACTTCAAAGTCTCAGAGCACCATAAAGATCCATCCACTCACTCAGCCATTTTGTCAGCTGTCCCAGAACTGCATGCTATTGTTGGTTCTGCTCATCAATAAACAGGAATCTTCTTTCCTAAGCAGCCTCCATTTCATTTCCAGCATCTTAGCCTCCATTTTATTTCCATCGTCTTACTCCCGACTTGGAACTGGACCTGATTTTTCTTTCAACAGAGCAAATGGAAACCAACCTGATATGATGTGCCTTGATATGGCCTCCAGCTGTGCTGAGTCTCAGCTCCCGGGATTCCCAGTTGAGGTGTGTCATTCAAAAGAAGATGTCGTAGCTTTGCTTTCTCTTGCAGGATACGGTGGTGGCTCTCCAGGCCCTCAGCCAGTACAGGACAATTACTTATTCCAAGGATGGCATCGACACCAGAGTGACCTTGAGTTCAGGAGATGCTGTCCTGACAGAATTCCATGTCAACAGCAACAACTCTCTGCTGCTCCAGTGCCAGGAGCTGCCCCAAGTGCCAGGGGACTACATGGCTGAGGTGACCGGTTGCATCTTTATGCAGGTGAGTGCCCTGGTGAGAGAAGAGGCCAGTGATGATCTGTTTTGGGTTCCCAAGGGAATTATGGGAACGCAAGTAGAGAAGAAGAACATTTTGCTTCTCATGGTGGGCAGCCATGATAAGCAGGAGACAGAACTTCCCCCACAACTTGGCACTTGGGGTCCTGCTGTCCTGAATTCAGAAATAACATGGAACCTTGTCTTCTGTGAATGCATCCAATCCTGCTTTAGAAGCCATTCAAGTTAATGACCATCACCGTGTCTTGAGGGAATGAAATCCATATGTCATTTATTATTATTATTATTTTATTTTAATTTCTATACCGCCCTTCTCCCGCAGGACTCAGGGCGGTGCACAGCATATTAAAAAAAATATAGGAGACCTGAGAAGGGAGGGAAGGGGAGGGAGGGAGCAAAGCACTGGGGAAGAGAAGTGGGCAAAGACTGGTGTTTTAGAGAAGCCATTTTCTGACAAGGATGGAGTGGTTTACACTAGCCAAGCAAAATGCTCCCACCCGGGGTCTTTTGAGAGTTGCTAGCAACTAAATTGTACACATGAATGAAGCACTCCTCCCAAGATATTTCCTTCTTCTATTTGGATTACTGCAAGACACTCTACATGGGGCTGCCCTTGAAGACCATCCGGAAGCTACAACTGGCCCAAAATGCCACAGTGTGCGCAGTGATGGGTGCTCTTAGATTTACCTATTTAATATCTCTGTTGGGCAAGCTGCACTAGCTCTCAGTTTCCTTCTGGGTGCAATTGAAGGTGCTGTTCATTTATTTGTTTATATTTCATACTTCTTAACTGCCCTTCTCCTCAGAGAGGGCAATGGTAGGATTCAAATATGTGAAAAACCGGTTCTCTGTGTGGATGCCGCTTCCAGAAGTCCATTCTGGGCCTGGGCCTGGGCCTTTTCTCTGATCAGATAAGTCAATTTGGCCATCTCAGTGAATTCCATCCTCTTCACCAACCATTCCTCTATTGTGGGGGTGTTGAATCTTTCCATCTTTGCGCGTATAATAATCTTGCTGCAGTTATCATGCACAACAGCAAAGTTCTATGACTTTTTTCCCAACTGTCCATTAAATCCCCAAAGAAAAGCCTCTGGTCTCAACTGTATACAAATCTTTAAATCCTCTGTATCTGTGTGTATTTGAATTCAGATTTTTCTTGCTCTTTTACATATCCCACTTGTTTCAAACCTCCAAATTCTTCCGTCACAGAAGTGTTGAACATCCCAAATAGCAACAGCAACAACACTTAGACCAGGGATGGTGAAACTTTTAGAGACTGAGTGCCCCAAAACTGCCCCCACCCCCCCACTCTGCCCCCCGCCCCACCTGCCCACAGGGCCACCCACCGCCACCACGGTCTGCCGCAGCAGATCACCCAGATGGCCCAGCAGCACCATGTTGGCCACGCTCTCCCCCACACCCCGCAGCATCATCTGCATTCAATGGGGCGTGAGGGCAGAGTCTTGTCCCCATTGCCCGGCTGCCATGTCCTTGTCTGCGCTGCTCCACATGGGCTGTGCTCGGGGGCGACTCTCCTCCGGGGGCTGCTGGTGAGGAGGAGGCTGTGAGGGGAGACAGGGCTGGGGCGACGGCGTGCATGCCCACAGAAGGCTCTGAGTGCCATCTCTGGCACGTGTGCCATAGGTTCGCCACCATTGACTTAGACTTATATACCGCTTCACAGTGCTTTACAGCCCTCGCTAAGCGGTTTATAGAGTCAGCCTCTTGCCCCCAACAATCTGGGTCCTCATTTTTACTGACCTCGGAAGGATAGAAGGCTGAGTCAACCTTGAGCCGGTCAGGATCAAAGGAATAGAACTGCTGGCAATGTGAGCAAAGTTAGCCTGCCGTACTGCATTCTAACCACTGCACCACCACGGGTTATCAAATGATGACATTTCTATTCCAGACCGCCTTGAAATACAATGTCCCTTTGCGACAAGAAGATGCACCATTTAGGCTGGATGTGAAGACAGTTCCTGAGACTTGCACAAGAGCCAAAGCTCACGTCACATTTGACATTGCCGTGAATGTCAGGTAATCTCTTCCTTGGATCAATGCTGAACCTTGCTTCCTTGGACAGATACAAGCACTTCTCCTCCAGGGATGAATCATGTCTGAGGATCCAAAGGCTGCTACTCAGCTCCCTCGCCTTCTGAAAGGCCACAGTTCTACATTCCAGAACTTCCATTCAATGGCAACATGGGATGGAGGCAGTGGTGGGATTCAAATAGGTGAACAACCAGTTCTCTGTGTGGATTCTGCTTCCGGAAGTCTATTCTGGGCCTGGGCAACAAAAAATTAGCTACCGGTTCTGCCGAAGCAGTGCGAACTGGCCGAATCCCACCACTGGATGGAGGCCCTGAGGGCAGGGCCAATCTTTTGTGAACCTGCATGCAGTATTTTGCCTCAAGTTGAGTATTTCTTGGTTTTAAAAAAGAGTCACATGCCTTCTTTCCTTTCTTGGTTTCTCAGTTACACTGGCCAACGTCTGGTTTCCAATATGGCAATGGTCCAGATTAAGATGCTATCCGGATTCATCCCGGTGAAATCCAGTGTAAAAAAGGTATTTTTTTCCCAGTTTCCTTTTTCCACTAAATCTTCGGTGCCCTATTTCTTGACGCAGGTATGTACTTTTGGGGGAATCCATCATAACTCTGAACATTCGCTAGGTGACTGGCTGTAAGTCAAGGCTTACCTGCATGCTTAGTTGACAGAATAACAGAGTTGGACGGGACCTTGGAGGTCTTCTAGTCAACCCTCTACTCAGGCAGGAAACCCTATATCATTTCAGACAGATGGTTGTCCAGTCTCTTCTTAAAAATTTCCAGTGTTGGATCACTCACAACTTCTGGAGAGAAGTCGTTCCATTGATTAATTGTTCTCACTGTCAGGAAGTTTCTCCTTAGTTCTAGGTTGCTTCTCTCCTTGATTATTATTATTATTATTATTATTATTATTATTATTATTATTATTATTATTATTATTATTATTATTATTATTATTATTATTATTA